TCAGCGGTGGCCGGGCAGAGCTACAGCATGCCGAGCTTTGTCTTGCACCAAACAGCAAATTTCATTTCAGTCTCTAGTGGGAGACAGACCAAAGCCTTCCCTTGGGGTGGTTTTTACTCTTTTCTGCTCGGGATGAGTTGCTCACCGCAGCTTCACTCTCTCCTGCCAGAGATGCTGACGTTGCAATTTTTGCTGTCTCATTTTGTGCCTTACCAAGCATTTCCAACTAAAAAAGGCTATTTTGGGAATTTAATCAAAACCATATAGAGTCCAATCAACCCTTAATCCATATTTAGGTGCTGGTGGTTCAAAGACATTCCAAGCAGAGTCCTGTAAGAACACGCGGGGGAGGCTGTAAGACCGTTGGCATTTTTGCTTAGAGCATAAATCTGTCTACTACCTTACAGGTACAAAACCTTTCTAAAGGTGAGAAAGATCACTTCTAGAGGTGTCTTTCACTCTGTTCCCCTCACTGCCAGCATCTTCGCTGCGTTATGTCCTCCATGCCTGCTCGGTCAGATTCCCCACTAATTCACGCCTGCTGGGAACAGCCCCCCTCCTGTCGTCCCCGTCCTTGTCACCCACCGAGTGAGGGGTGGGCTTTCCCCAGCGCTCCAGACTAACACCGTTTTGTCGGTCCCGGTGCCCACAGGGAAGGAAAACAATTCAAACCACTATCAGTGACGGCGTACTCCGCTGAGGGACACCTGCTTTTGTATCCCAGCTTTGTGCACGTCCCTCTGACACACACAACATAACTGTCCTCTCCAAATGTTCCCTTAAGTCTTTTTCTGCCATTTATATGGAAGCAAAAAAATAAAGCAGCCTGTAAGCCTCAGAGAAAGGATCACTTACAGTGACTGAAGGCCAACTCAGTTCATCCCACTAGAACTTACAGCGTTGGAAATTCCCTACCGGGGGAATATTCTCCTGGACGTGACCCTGCGTAGAAAGTCAGACCTAAGGTGTTACTGAGACAAAACCCCAAGCCCCGACTTCCTCAGGAATACTAAAGCTGTTGGTAATTAATTCCAAATGAGAACGATACAACTCCAGTCCAGATGTCTGCTGGCAGCAGATGGGAGCCCAGCCCCATGCGGGAGAGCCGGGAGCTGCGGGCAGCGCTATGGACAGCGCCGTCGGAAGGAACGTCCCAAATACATCTCCCCGGGTTTGGTCCTGCTTTTGCAATAGCTCCCGTGTGTACTAACGCCAACTTGTTATTCCTCTCCGATAAACGGGATACTTGAGTGACAAAGAGTACATTGCGCTGGAATCAAAGGCAAGTTTAATTTTTATATTCAACATAATAAAGATGGAAAACATAGCAATCGTTCCATAAACATTCCATCTCAACTGGCTGCACACACTCTCAGAAAAAATCAGAACTATTCAAGATTCAGTATCTTTTATGCAAAAGAAAAAAGCAGGATGCTAGAAGTGCACGTTTGTGGTGTGTTGTGATCAGTTTAAAACTAATACCCAACCGATGCGTGCACTCATTCAAAACTTTTAGGGTTTATATTTAATACACAAAACATATAGAGGGTATTTGTTCAAGACTGACAGCTGAATTGTGTTTCTTTTTCAAGCCTATAAAGCTAAGCTAATTGTATTTTTAAAAATTCATCTGTAAAAGCTGCTAAACAATTTTAAGGATAATTAGATTACATAATACAGAACTTATTTGATAGTTAGAGCATAAAACACACAGCAATGATATTGTAAGGCTTCACGGTCTTCCTTTACCTGATGAATATCCAGCGCTGTTTTGTTACACTATTTCCTTCTACTACAAGGATTAAAGAAAGTGATTACCTAGTAAGAGACATGCTTTTTAAAAAACCCCAAACAAACCCCAAAACCCCCAAACATCCACACCATTACTGCCATCACGCTCAGTTTTCAAGCGCGTCCCTGGAGCGAGACAGCAGCTCAACCCCAGCAGCCGCGTGCGACAGGCAGGTTTCACCTCCGCCTGCCTTGTGCTGCATCAGTCGGGTCCCCGCGTCTCCGCTCACCCATCGCCCCACGGCGGCAGCGGGGCCTCGCTGGTGTGTCCCACGGGACAAGGGAGCGAGCGGCCACCGAGCACCTCCCGCGTGCAAACAATGACCATGCCCATTTGCACAAGCCTGTGCGCTATGAAGACGTTGCGATAGGAAGAAACAAGAAGCAACCAAGACAAGACATCAAGTCTCAGGCAAGCCCCAGCAGCGTGCGGGCAGGGTCGGGGACACCAACCCTCTGGGTCTTGGCCAGGAGAGAAATCCCAGGGCAGCCCCGGCGGGTTATGGGGTTCTGAGCTCAGACAACAGCACCGAAAGAACACTTAAGTTAGAATCAGACTGATTTTCCTGCCAGAGAAGATGAGAAACACTGTGATCCAGACGCTGCAGGGCAACCCAACGAAGACGGCAATCATGCCCAAAAACTCACGTAGCTCCTGTTCTCCCATGCTCCTCAGTCGCACCCAGTGAACGTGAGTCAGGCATACCCAGAGCAACGTTTCCAACTCACAAATTCTCGTTCAACCACTCAATGTATCTGTTCAGCAGCCGGTGCCCTACCGCTAGGTTGACTGGGCTCAAGACAAACATCATCACCCCGTGAAAGGCGTCCTTGGCATGGTCATGCACGATGGGAACACCTGCTGCCTGGAGGCGCCTGGCATACATGACTCCGTCATCCCGTAAGACGTCGTGCTCGCAGGTGAGGAGGTAGGTGAGGGGCAGCCCACGTAGCTGGGCATCGCTCGCCAGCAGCGGGGCCGCCCTCAGGTCCAGAAACCCTGGGTACTTCCGTGCGAGCTCAGGGCTTCCATAGGTGGGACTGGTGTAAACGTGATCCTTCTTCAGCTCTTCAGGCAGCAGATTGCTCCAGTTGACAAACTGAAATAAGTGGCTGGATTCAAGCGGGACATGCCTGTTGGAGGCCATCGCTTCCCGGAGAGACAAATCAGAAGTGAAATATTCACTCCAGAACTTGACCATAAGCAACTTGGGCAAAATGGGCTTGTTTTCATTCTGTCGGTAAGATGGTAAATTCAGGTCAAGGGCTTGGAGAGCAGGGTAAATTAGAGCCTGGACTTTGAGTTTAGTTTTGACTTCAGAGTCCTCTAACAGCTGTAGAAGAAAATAGAAATAATTACAGAGTCAGTTAAAAAGTGCTGGTTCTCTCACACTGACCGAAGATCTTAAAAGTAAGGAAGTAACACACATGTTACAACATAAGCAAAATTAGATTATCAATAAATTCAGGATAGATTAATTTAAAGAAATTCTAAATTCATGGCGGGTCACCTAAAACAACATGTTGTATTAAAAATTCTCCAACATCAAATATATTTTCATTTTATTTCTTATGTTGAAGGACAACAATATTGGAGAAATACTTTTTGAAGCATTGAGACTTTGAGGCATTGATACTTTCCTAAGTAGTAACAAATGCTTTTTCTAAAACTACATAAAATTTCTATTCCTATAGCTTAAAAATTGCAGGTTTCCGAGGCTCCTTTAATCGTTTCACACACAATTTAGAGCTTATCCATCTGCTGAGGTTTTTTAACCCGGAGGCGCTAGAACTCAAGCCTACGATTCTGTGCATTTTAGACACACGCAAAATAAAGTGTGAAGAATTGAACACTAACATTTCTTACGTGTCATCCGTTTTCCCTCTCCACTAATAAATTTCCATCTTTTCCCTCATCTTCTGCCTTCAGCATCCACAGCAAATTCACACCTTTTCCAAGCACGATTCATTACAATCCAAATAACTTCTCAGGAGAGCAACAACATTGCGCTGACTTTATTTAACAAACCTGAGTGAGAAGCGCAAAAGGCACTAACCCGCGTGTGATCAAACGGCACTGGAACGTTGAGTTGTCTTTTTTATTTGCATCTACACGACCCAAATCGCTAAAATCCCCTTCTCAAACAACATAGCTAAACCAGTCAAAACGTGCTTAAGGATAGAGCAATATATGCCGTAACTACAGGGCAGAGAACCTTTTTTTAGGGTACAAAGGTTCGGAGAATGTGATAGCATCAAAGCTACTTTGATGCCATTAAACGGCTCAAGTAAATTCGCCTGCCCAGAGCCCTTGCTGACAGTCCTGCTGGCTGCGCGACGTCCTGCGTACACGGACCACGAGAGACATTGCACTTGCTTTGAAAAGAGGTTTTTGTCAGTCTTTGGTAAGCATTCACAAAGTGACCAAAAAAAAGAAGAAGAATTTTGAGCTAGCAAACCAGCTTTTTTTTTTTTTTCTTTTTACCTGCTGTGCCACAGCCGCAGCTAAGTTGCCACCTGCACTGTCTCCTGCAACACAGACCCGGTCTGGGTCCACCCCGTACTGGGAGAGGACGCTGCTCTGGAGGAAGAACTTCGTTACAGAATACACATCTTCAAACTGAACGGGGAAATGGTGTTGAGGTGCCAACCTGTAGCTGTCAGAGGCAAGAAGCGTGTTACTGCCTGCTGTTAATAAAGGGAAAGGCTTGCTATCATCTGCCCAAGTTGGTGAATACTTATTGCTTTCTGTGCCCAGAGAAATAGGAACCGCCTGTCCCGGAGGATTAAATACTTTATTATCCACCCAGTTTCATAAAGCAATAGCCAAACTAACCACCAGCCACAATTCACCACTGCAACATTGACAGCTTTTGTTTACAAATACTTAAAACTAGCAGGAAAGCACATGATCAAAAAACCAGATATTGCAAAGTTAGCTTAATTGAAATAGATTAATTTATTCCAAACCCTCATCCCATCTCGAAGGAGAATCTCTCTTACTTGACTGATACCACGACAGCATTTAACCTGTGCGAAGTCTGCCTTGTCAGGTAATCGTAGCCTTTCATACCTGCAAGGAAACGAGTCACTTAGAGCATGCTCCAGCACGTTTGAGAACGGACACGCACGCAGCAGCATGCTCCTCTTTGCAGAAGCTTTCAGGTGACCTTCCAAAACCTCCACCTGGTTTTACTGGTGAAATACCATTTCCCTGACCCTCTCCACAGCAGCTCCCATAAAAGAAAAGGCAGCGCTTCACACGGGCCGATGCGATCTCCCACACGGACCCGTGGTGCTGAGAAGAGCTTACCTGCCTGTCCGACGCACCATCCTCCGCCATGGAAGTAGACCACCGCCCTCCTCAGCCCGTCAGACGCCTTTCTGGGCAGGTACAGACGGACGGCAACGTTGCTGAACTCGGTGTCCATCACAGTGACGTTTTCATCGGACGTGGGTGCGACGTACTCGGCAGACGTGATCAGCATCAGAGCTTCCATGTAGTGCATCAGACCCAGCTGATCGGCGACCTCAGCCTAGAGCCCGAGACACGGGAAAACGGTCTTTTAAACACAGCCTTAGCCGCTCCGAGGTTACATTTCCACAAAGCTTTTGATGTTCTGTACAAGCCTGTAAGGTTGCAGAAGAAGTTGCTAAGCCAAACGCTGCTGACTCGCAGGCGTCACTGTCTTGCCTGGCCACGCCGCCCAGCCGGACTCCCGTACGTCCCACCACTCGCTGGGCAGCCCGGGGCCACCACCCCTCCGTGCTAGGAGAACGGCTGGAAGCATGGGCACAGGGCTTAACGAGGACGCAACAGAGGATGCAGAAGAACGCAGAATCAGCCAAAACTTCCTGATACCCAGCAGGTAGGGGCTGCTTAGCGAGTCAGACCTCATCTCTCCAGACAGTTACCACAGAACCAAGTAATAGCTGCTCCTGTAGTGAACTCCAGAAGCAAAACCAGCCAGTACTTTCAGGATGCCAAGGACGCTGCTAGCACAAATACAAGGATATAGCAATTCAACTTCAAGCTGCACAATAATTTCTAATGATCAGTTCCATCCCAGTAGCCAAAGAGCATCCTTTAGAGGTGATTACCCTTACATTATTAAAAGGAAATATTTTCTCTGCTTTAAGATGTTAAAAGAGAAGAAGTCTATTTTTGCCACTTTAACACAGTCCAGCTCTGTTTCATTTCTTCAGTTTACGTGTAACAGTTCCACTCCCCTGTGTCTCTCTATATAATGAAGTGCTCCTACTGAACAGTGGAACAAGAGCTGAGCCACATGGTTATTGTCCATTCCATGTGGTCAGCAGACAAGACGAAATTTCATCACGCTACACGTGCTGCTACACCTTCTGAAGCTATTTCCTGCTCCATCATCCTTGGTAAGGATCCAGCTTTTTCCAAGCCACACAAATCCTTTCCTTATATCGGTTTGATATTTCACAATAAAACGCTAAGAATAACCCTGGCACCGATGTTCCGATTTCCAGCAGCCCTCTGCCAGCAAGGCAGTTCCCTGCCGAACGAACCGACGGAAGCACAGCTCTGGTGTGGCATCACCCAGCGCTAGCCCCGACGATCCCGGCAACTCCTTTATCCAGAGAGACACGGTGGGACCAGGAGGAACATCCTCCAGGAGGGGAATAAGGATGATGCTAACCGGGATCTCTGTCTGCCCGATGTGTGCACTAGTCTGGGATTCATAAGACACACCCACAGCGTTAACTGTTTTTGAAAGGTTCTTTTCTCCAGAAATCTGAAGCGTGCCCCAGCCCCTGGGCAGCCCTGCGAGGTGGAGCGGGCAGGGTCCATCGGAGCCCCCGGCACGATCGGAGCCCCCGGCAGGGTTACAGGACGGGCAGGAAAGCTTTCCAACCCGCTCCGCAGGAACTCCCCAACAGCAGAAAAGGGATGTGGTTCAGCGAGTTCAGAACCAAGGAACTGCCAACTTTTAATATTGTTAAAGCTGTTTCCTTTGAAATTCAGGTTTTAAAAACATTTATTACGAAATGCTATGGTTCTAAATTAGATTAAAGCTATTCTAAGATGCTAAATAAAATTAAAACAAAATCCCCAAACCCTAACAGGTTAAAGCTGTGGGTGAAGTACAAGCTCCAAAGATTAATTAACATTTGGCAGCTTTGGCTCTGACATCATGACAGTTTACACAGATTAAAGCATTTCAGAATCCCTTCCACTCAGATTATTTTAAACCTTGAACATAAAACTTTTTTTTTTTCCCCCAAAAAAATTGTGCTAGCTTTCATTATACTGAGTCTTTGGTAGACAAGAGCGAACCCAAGTGAAAACGTTTCTAGAGGCATTTGCTCTGGACGGTGCTAGAAGTGCCGATCCCAAGGACCCCTTCCAAAACCAGCTGGTCCCCCAAGGAGCCGCCACGTTTCCTCATGGCTGCCTGGGGAACTGCGACAACTACAGGTGTGAGTGGTGTTCGCTTATACACAAATCTCACAAATTTCTGCCCTTTTTCCCTTTCTTCATTGGATTAAATTGTGTTTAAAGAAACTAAACTTCTCACGTTACTTTTAGGATATTAGAAACATATTCTAAAAACACATTAAAAATTCGTAACATGCTACAAAATGACATAAAAGAATAACGTCACAGTGGCTGAAAGAAAAACAAAGCCTTTGTTTTCTATACAGTGGAAGATAGTGGGAACGCTTACCGAAACAAAACTTGAGCCCCGCTGGAGACTGGCCGCAGGCAGCGCGTGATCTCAGCTGCACAAAGTGCCGGCGGGACGAGGAACCTCCCCAACGCCGGGCGGCTGGAGCTGCCTGCAGCGGGAAGGTGAAGGAGCACGGGCCGCCTCGTGACTTGGGAGCATTGCATTGCCTAATTCCTAACAGGACACTAGGGAATAGCTCGGGGGGGGGGGGTTTGGTTATTTTTTTTAGATGATAAAAGATATGAAGAATACAACTGTAATGGCACTTTGATATAACTGATCAGAACGCTTGGTTTAGAAGATAATTGAATTAACAACAGGCCTAAGTTTTTTAAACTGATTGGAAGTCTTCAGTAAAACAAACTCTCCCAGGTGTTTCACCTTTTGTAATTTTTTTTTTCTTTAAGCTACATTTAAATCAATTCTTTAATCATCTCCTACATATAACCTACTCTCTCAGAAGTTAGAAAAAAGCGAATACAGCTAAGGCCTTGCTGCCAGTGCTCAATGGTGATTGCCACCGCATTTCAGTGACCTCCCTGAGGGCTCGGACCAAGTGATGCCGGGAGCACAGCCAAGCTCCGTGGCTCGGAATCGAGGTGAAGACATGCAGGCAGTAACCGACACAGCTCAGGTCCTTCCCGTGAGCTCACTGAAGACAATACACACATGCCAAAACTGCTTATTTTTATCCACAGCGATTACACAGTTTACATAAATATTTCTCAGCTGTCGTATTTTCCCTGAGGATTAGCATCTTGAAAAAATAAATATATAGGTCAAAGTGAGTCCTGCTGTAATTCCACTGAGCTTGTGAAATTCCCCCGCGTCGGGAGGAATTCCCTCAGCTTCAGGACTGAGGCTGTCGATGCTCTCCGAGCTGGGTTTTCTGCAAGCAGACATTTTACATTGGGGAAAACCACCGGCCTACCGCCTGTGGTTTCAAGGCCAGTATCATCTAAAACCGAAAGGAAATCACACCCTCATCTGAAAAGCCTCGTTGTCCCAGATCTGAGATTACTGCACCTTATGGGCTAAGAGGAAAACCAACACCTTTGGAGTCGTGTTCCACGTGCTTTGGAAAGCATTTTCCACAGTCACTTTCTCCGTCTTCCCTGCGGGGAGCGTGGCGGCAAGGACAAACCCCAACGTTTACTGACGGGGGAGGCAGGCAGAGCGCCCGGCGCTGCCTTCAGCAGCTTATTCACCTGAACAGGCAATGGTTCAGGTGGAGGCGTTTGCATTGCATCTTACACTTTCTTCATGTGCTTTATCTTAGGCTGCCTGCACATGGTACTTTCTGAAAACACGTGAAGGATTTCGTGCTCCAGCACCACAGGAACCGGCTGGTCTATTCTTAGCAGCTATTCCCCAGCTAGACAGCACGTAGATGTGAGATGTTACACCAAACACACCAACGGAGACCTTCCCAGCCTCCCTTCTGCAATGGGGTGGGCACGAACGGATTCCTGCACACCACGAAACCCAAGCACGGCTGCAATCCCCCGGGCTGACTCAGGGCATGGTCTAATCATCAGCCTCTGACCAGCCCCTCAGCGCTCACCGCCATGCCCAGGAGAGACCTCAAAAACAGCCCGGGACTGGCACAGGTTTTGTTCAAGCCATTTACTCGCCCAGGCCAGGAAACCCGAAATCTTGCACAATTTGGCTCAGGGGCTGGCGAACTCCCCTATTAAAGCAGGGCCGGTGAAGGAGGACAGAGATTGCCATTTCATGGCTTGCTTTGGGTGCTTGCAGAGACCTTCCTGGTCAGGAGCGTTTGAGGGTGGCAGTGGTATTTCCCCTTTTTCAAACCAACATCAGGGAGTCAAAGACTAAAATAGGGTCTCCTCTGCAAATTTAGACCTACTATTAAGCAATTATAAATCATTGCCCCATAATCGGATGGCCGCTCAGAACATATTTAGGACACCGTAGAGCCATCTCAAATCTAGTTTGCACCGGTGCAGCTCCAGGGAGGCTATCTTCGTCCAAGTGCCTTGGGATTACGGTTCTGCATAAGATTGGAGCACAATTACAAAACACACTTGCCCTGCACCACTGCTGCTGGTAGCAGATTTAGGCTTAACAGGCAGCCAACGCCACAGCCACAAAAGACACCAACTCCATGTTAAATTGCAAACACACAATCCTCCAACACTGAAAGAAAATGGTGCTGCTTGCCGAGCGCGGCTGTGCTGAAGGCTGGGGGTCTGAGCACGTGAGCAGACACGAGGTGTTCCTGGGGAAGTGAGCGACCTGCACACGTACCCGCCTTGCAGGCTACCTCCAAAAGGGGATTTAAAAGGGGAAGCAGCAAGGCAGCTCACGGAAAGCTGGCAGAGGTCGTGCTTGAAGAGTGCCAGGAGCAGACGGCCCATGAGCATGGGCTGCAGAAAGGGTCCCACCAGCTCACCCCTCCCTCAGAGTGCTCCGCTGGTTTGTACACATCACTCGCTGCTCTCCACGTAGCCAAACTCTGCAGCATCAATTTCTGGCCTTCAAAGCCACAGAGCCCAGGCTGAGGTCTCTGCAGGGGCCCCAGGGTCCGTCCCCAGCGACCACGCTATTTCTGAGTACGCACGGCACTGCGTCGGTGTTTGTTCTTACATTGCAGATAGTCACCACAGGCACGTTTCGTTAGTGACACAATTAACACAGCAGAATTGCAATTTTCCTCATTGCTACCACTTATGATACAGCTGAATAGATGATGAATAACAGATTGTCCTTGTATCAAGAGCACAGCAGAAACCTAGAGCTTTCTTTCCGAATATGATGTTGTATGATTTACACTAATACATTACCACAGAAGCAATGCACCATCTGAAGACAAACATACTAAACACTTTCACCCTGCTGGAAATCTCAGGTGAGATCTATTCTTTATGACTTTCTGAGCTATTCTGCTCTCAGACTATCCTACCGACTTGTCACCCTTTAACCCTTCTCTCCTGGCAGCAACAGGTTTAGAGCTGAAGTTGGAACAGGCACTTGATGCAGGTCATGATAAACAACCCCCAACTCTTCTTGTGCCCAGCTGGAATATGACTAATGACACCAAACACATCTTTTTCTTACTCCAGTAGCTTTAATTAACCAGTACAAAGCCAAACCTCTCAAAGAGAATTGCATTTCATGTACAGAAGGACTGGAGAGAAGCTTAGTGGATTCTTATTTTCTAGTTGTTTTTTCCCTTGGGTTTGTTTTGGGGTTTTTTTTGAGGGGGTAGGATTTAGGGGGGTGGAGGGAGTGTTGTTTGTTTTCCTCCCAGAAGGATTCCTACCACCTAGTTTCTTTGGAGAAGAAAGATCTCTCCAGTAGTGCATCTGCAGACTCTCACTGCTTTTTCATCTCCCACCACTCAGACCTCAAACCTCCAGGGAGATGCCAGGCATAATGAAAACACACTGCTGCCTTCTAAGCTGCTGTAATTTCTTTATCTACTCCATTTGCACATGGGAAAACTTGGCATTATTTTAGGCTTAATATTTTTACACCTTAACATAGGCTTTTATAAATGCTTTGAAATTGGCTAAGAAAATGAGAGTAATCCTGAGCACCAAGGGGAACAGAAGTCAATAAACAAGGTAATACTAGAAAATGAGATACAAGATCATCCCAGGGAGCAGCAATCTATTTTATAGTGGAGAAGAAAGCAGTCTTAAAACATTTGTAGTCACCCAGAAAGATGTCTGCAACTCCCAGCCCCCCTCCTCCTCCTCCAAACCTTCATCTTTGACCTTGTTTTTAGATTTCAGTTACGCTGCTGCAGCCACTGCTGTATGTTAAGTACAGGCTGGATTCAAAACAGCTCCCAGTCTAACGTACTGGAGAGCTGGGAACTACAGCACCGTTATTTCTGCAGGGCACGCAGCCTCACAGATTATTTACGTATGTTTGAAATGGCCACATAACGTGACTGAAATGAAGTGGAAGCCAGGGATGTAACGTATATAAAAGTAGCGTGGAAAGACATAAGGATGTGTTGTCAGTAAAGATTGCCATACAACTACAGACAGGGTACGATACCGCTGCCTTTCCAGACTGCGACATATGGCTCTGTGCTCCTCAGCTAGATACCATTTTTTGGTAGGCAAGATTACAGTGGTGTTAAAAGACAGATATAGATATATATGTTAATGCTAGAGCCTGTTGAAATTGTCATCCCTATAATTAGCTTTGTGTAGTTTTTAGGCTCATTCTGCCAGGAGATTCCTATGAAACCACAAGAATGAATAGTTTTTAAGCAGTGCTCTAGTTTCCCTTTCCCTGACACCCAATACACCACTTCTGAGGAAGCTCAATAGACAGGTTCTGGGAAACAGGAAGAATTCAAGGACCAGTGCTCCAGCTACAAGGGATCGTAAAGCAAGATAAACACGTTTGCACTTACCTATCCATATTTACATTACGGATCACATTTCCAGTTACTCAATGTCCTTTTTCAAGATCGTTCAACTAAATCTTTTCTAAGTTTATTTATAGTCATACAGTTATTTATAGTCATAGTTACAGTAAGTTTAATCCTTAATTTCAGATACTAGCGTCCTTCCCTTAGCGTATTCACTAAGCATGACGCTTTGCCAGGTATGACATATATCGCCGTATCTGTTAGCTGCGGAGCCACCAAGAACGCCCTCCACTCCGCAGCTCTCACCCCTGCACCAGCCCCGCGCCAAACTCACCAGATGCCCGACAGCCCTGAAGCCAGCCGTGACGAGCATCACTTTCCAGGGCTCCTCGATGTCCTCGGGGAGGGGGGTGTAGATGTAGTAAGCAGTGAGGGCAGAGGCGAGGAAGAGGCAGAGCAGCTTGGCTCCCATGTCTCCAGGATCACCTCCTCCCAGGCTGATGGGGGTGGGTGCTCTCGCCAGCTCTCAACAGCCACAAACCAGCACACGCACACAGGGCAAAGTTAATCCTGTGTTTTGTTTGGGTCCCGGCCAGGAGGTGATTTCTCATTGGATCACCCGGGACAGAGGTTACTCTGCCTTGCAGCTCCCGAGAAAAAAAAATGTTGCTTCAGCAAGGCGCTCAGCCACTCAGAGCTGACCCAGCCAGTAGTTCAACCCCAGATTAAACATCGGGGCTGCTACACCCCCCAACACCTCCCTTCCTGCGTTTGGCAACAGCAGCCAGCAAGAGGGCTCAGGAGGAAAGGGGCAGTTGAAACATAAGGAACAGAACGGGCCCTGTGAGCTGAGGGCTGCTGCAAGGTGACACTCGAATGCAAAAACTGTGTTGAACGTCCAGGAGCTATTAGCTGCCGCTTCCTAATGCAGCCGTTCAGACACAGCCCAGCTTACAGAGATACCCAGCGGGATCAGGCTACAGCAGCGTGTAACCCACTGCCCTGTCTCAGGCAGCAACAAACACCTCCTGCTTTGACAAAGCGCACCCTCCGTCGTGTACTAACAGACCAAATCCATTATGCAATAGCAGCTTTGGCAGAAGCAAAAGTCTTTTACAGGGCTTCTAGTTAATATTTTAAAGATCTGATTTAATTGCCACTGTTCTCGGGATTAAAAGATTTCTATGCATCTCCCAGAAGCAACTGCTTCTGCACAGGGTGGACTCAAACAGGTGATGATAATTCCACTAAGGAAACACTGCAAGCACAGGCGTGCACGCAGAAGGAGGGGTAAAAAGAATGGCTACAGCACCGACAGCCCTGCTTTAGAGATAAACTGAAGAGGTAAAAAGCTCAATTAAAATTTAAAACTTCAGCAAAAGAAATAACAAGTGCAAAGCAGCACCACCACTTGTTCTCAGACTGAGCAGCCCTTGGGGCTGGAGCATCCTTTGGAGGACCAGAGAGCACAAAGCATCACAGGAGACCGAAAGCTGACCTGCGTGTCACCAGGGCACATGCAGAGAAGGAGCTGTCAATCTTTCAAAGCTTTTCCTTATTTAAGTTTTGGGCACCTCCAAAACATTCAAGCGTTCTAAAAATCCAGCCGTGCTATCCCTCCTCAGCCCGGGACAGGACACCCTGTTTTCCTGCGTCGGTCCTTCTGCAGCACAACAGTCGGTCAAAGCCTGACATTCTTGACACCGCTCCAACCAAGAGACAACACCCCTCTGTGGTCACTTCTCCTGTCCTGGAGGCCAGCGCCGGGTGCAGGGGAGAGGGGTGGGTGAATAGAGTCCCACGGAGGCGACACCCCCCACCCTGGGTGCAAGCAGCAGCAAGGCTGAGCCTGCGTTCCCAGCGGGTGCACACGCACTAGCACACGCAGGGCTGGACACGCACGCGGATCAGCAAGGCCCATCTCTTCTTTTCTACAGCTCAGATCACCGGTTCCTCAGGGGCTAGCTTTGGGGCTGCGAGGAAGAACGCAGATAAAGGAACCGGGTTTCAGGCAGGAGGGGAGGAGAGGCCCAGCCCGGTGAAGGAACGGAGGAAGGAGCCCTGTGCTCCCTCTGCCCCTCCCCAGGAGCGACACGAGCTCTCAGGACAGCTTGCTCTGCCCCACCACGGCTCACTGTTTCAGCACTGCAGACAGCACGGAGGAAGACATGGCCAGACCTGGAACTATGGCAAAACTAGTCTTTCATTTTGTCACCCTTCAGGAATGTTTCATCATCTTCCTCCATGCCACCCTCCAGCTGAAGCACGGCCGTGCAGTTACAGCCCAGACTATGCGCGGTCCTTACCCCGAGCTCACCTTCGGCTTAGGCAGGAGCTCACAGCGCTTAGCCTTTGGACACCAACATCTCCTAATCTCTGGCAGAGCCAGCCCTCCTGCCCTCCAGTGAACCACCGCAGCAACCTACCCTTTATCACAGCGATACTGGATAAAGACAATAATAAATTGAATTCACCATTTACCCAAGGCATGCCTAATGCATCAGCTTCAATAGGGAAGTACCCATCTCATGACAATTTTAGTAGAGCCCTTTCAGTAGAAGGGACCCGCTGAGACAGCACACGACCCCTCTCAAACAGGGGATGGGTGCCACATGAAACATGTGAACGTTAAAATCAGTTCCCATGCAGCGATTACCCTTCGTGTTCCACCCCGTCCAGCCTCCACGCTGCTGCTGCTTTTCAGAGCCCTGCACCAGCACCCACCACTGCCAGCTGCTGTTGCATCACGCAGTCTCTCACTACTCACTGTTTTCTAAAGCGAACAAGCCTCATTGTCCTGCTCTTCCCACATATAGTATCCCAACAAGAGAGTCCTGCAGCGTGTGTGCCCTCCTTCCTATCTCCTGCATTTTCATGTATTCCAAGCTACTGGTGTTTCAGAAAACAAGGAAAGAAAAAAATTAATGTAAACTTAAGTGGACTAAAGCCAGGGCTAAACCTGCAAAGGAAAGAGCAGCAGTCGGAGCGCAGCCCTGCCCAGAGCCAGCATCCTCTGCAGCCACAGCCGTGCGCTCCGTGACGCAGCCGATGCCGGTCGGGATTGCCTGTCACTGCGTACTGCACAGCCATGGGAAGACTTGCATGAACCAGCTCAGACACTGACTTGCTACCTCAATAATCAGCCCTGCTAAAAATAACTATCAGGACAGCAGATTGAATTTTCAAGCTGTGGCTTGGAAGGAAGAAATATGTGGGGTTATAACTTACATCTGTTTGTAACGGCAATGTCTCTTCACCTCTCTCACTCATATTGCATTTCCACTGACTGCACTCACAGCATTACTGGGAAAGAATCATCCAGGCCAACCACGTTCTGCTCAAAGAGCTCCTAGGACACCGCTGGCTTTAGGAAAACACACCGGGAAATAAACCTCTTGAAAGCAGGACACATTTGCAAGGCTGTCCAGCACAAAAAAGTATTGTCTAGCCTAAAGGGGAAATAATTGAGTATAACCTGGTTGTGACTCAGCCCCTAGTAATAACGTAGTCCAAAATCTAAGACCTAAACAAACAACTGATCAAAGACTGTAGTACAATCCTCTCATCTACGTTTAAGGCTGCCATTGTCAATAGGATCTATTTCTAGAGAAGACAAGATAAGCAATTTGAATAAAGTTTTTAGTGTCAGACTAATTGCAAAATAATTCTTTGTCCTTGCCCGTCAGCGTAGGTGCAGTAGCCGTACGGGGGTACGGCCCTAAGGCAGGAGGGCAGAAGTGCCGCAGGGCACTCCCGGGAAAGTGGGGGTCTCACTTGGGGCTGCTTGTCAGTGAAATGGAAAGGTGCTAGAAGCTCATTACATTTATGTATCTATCGTTACATTTATTTCATGTCTACGATTTTATTGGTCTGCTGCTTATGGAATAACAAGCATCCTCACAGTTTTAAAACACAGGCTGCTTGCTTCTACCAGCTGCAGTGCCAGTCCTGAGGGTCACCCATACGTGCCAGCAGGGATGTGCCCACCTCACTCACCCCATCACTGCCTTGAATTTTTTCCTTCATTTGGTTTGTGGCATGGTAATTTGCATATCATTTGCATGAACTGCACACAGCTCTCCAAAACTGATCGTCTAAATGGCTCTCATAGGCAGAGCCCAACTGGGAGAGGTTTAGCAGATGACAGCTGAGCCCTGGGTCGCACAGAACAGTCCCTGTGTCTGTCCTGGCCCGGGGGCACTAACGGGCACCAGTGCCCCTGACCAGCCGCACCCGGGACCCCAGTGACCTGCAGCCCTTGCCCAGGCTGTGCCCTGGGGGTCTCGCCCTACCCGTGCACTACCTCATGCTACCAACCGGCACCATGCTGGTTGGACCGAGGGGTGCTCCTGGCAGTGACAGCACCCCCCGAGCTGCAGGGTGGCTGTGCTGTTAAAGATAGACACTAATTTGATCCTGTGACAACCACGCTGTTTTTATACATCAGCACTGAGAAGGGTCACGTCTTCGCTGGGGTACAGAGTCACAGCTTACCAAAATAGCAGCCAAGGGCTCCGTGCCTCAGCAGGTTCACAGCGCTCTGGTTACCCACCTGGGTGGTAGGGGGTCAGGGCACGCCACCGCCCCGCGCCTGCCGGGAACAGACACGTTGGGTTGGGGACGGCCAGCCGCCAGTGCCCGATCACCCGGGCAGGGCTCTGGGGGTAAAGGATGGAGACACAGGTGTTGAAGGGGGTGCGGGGAAAAAATAGCTGCAGCCCCAGGGACAGGTTGGCAGCGTGGGCAGCCAGCTTGGCAGGGCAGAAACTCATCCCCAGCTGCAGCGGGAGACAGCCAGATGTCCTGGGCACCTCTGCCAGCCGCTGCTGGTGCTCACGGCTGTAGCCACTGTGCTGGGACGAACGGAAAAGCATAAGTGCTCCAGTTAGTTACGCCATACACCAAAGTGATTTTTTCCAATACAGTATTTTAGGAAATAAACTGAAAAGCCACCGGGAGGCAGCACAGCACTGCAGAAGTTTTCCTTTGCACCGAACAACAGTATTCCAGAGTGAACACAACCCGGTGAGAAATACAGGTTCTCCAAGTCCTCTCTCAGCAGGGCAAGGACCAGCGCTGACTGTCACCCAGAGACTCCAAGAACGAGGGGAAAGGATGAAAAGCAACACTGGAGCTAGTAAACACTGTCCATGTCTGCCTGCGCTGAGACAAGTCACAACCTTGTAGCAGGAAGCAAAAATCTCCTCTTCTGTCCTTCAATAGTGGACTGAGATCCACTAAACAATCAGTATAATTAGAACAGTGTGGGGCTGAAACTACCCTTCGAAAGGCAGCAGCAGCACCACACATGCTGTATCATCCAACACACACACGAGCAGGGCATGACAGCTACTTAGGAACCAGCTTACCAATGCAAAACATTAAAGCAAATGAAAGAAAATCCACACCAAACTGCAATATGTAGTTGTTGACATCAATAATTTAAGCAATGGATATTTTGTGGTTTATCAA